TGTTTTTGATGTTGCAGTGCTGGGTGGTTTCAAAAGAACACTAATAGCTGCAGTGAGTGGGAGTCGATTCAAAAATGCATAATAGTTGACTCCTGTAGAAATTGAGAAAAAAAGCTAATAAACATAAAGTGACATTGGTGATGGAAAGTATTCAGTTATGTCTTCATTTTATTTAAACTAAAATTCATGGTCTGAATTAATTAAGACCCTGGGTAAAAGGTAAGTGCTGTGATCCTCTTTTATTTCCATTAGACCTCTTTTCTTCCCTTTTTCTATCTTTGATACCTCTTGACACAGATTGGTTATTTAATAAGCACAGCCATTCAACCCTGATGTTTCCTCCAGTGTGGCAAATAAAAGCGTGGCTCCTATAGCTTTGCTTTACAATTACACTTTCCACTGGGAGCAATTTAAAACAGCTCCTGTCAATCCTTAAGGAAGACAGACAGACTGTGATGCCTTTGATCACAGGCCCCTTGCTATCAAAGCAAGTAAAAACAATGCCTGATGCGAGTCAAACAAATCTTAAATCATATTTCTTCATTCCCAAATACTCATCTGAAAGAGTCACAAGGTAACAGCTTCTTGTTATAAACGAGGGGAACAATTTGATGAACATTTTAGAACACAGTATTTGAGTCATCTGTATTCGTTCTGGCTTGATTCAGATTCACTGGATCAGGAAATGTCATTGTATTTCATTAGCATTTATACCTCTGTGTACGTCAGTGAACTGTGAGCATACCTTGGCCACAAATTACACGTGATTTGTTGTATGCTTACAAGGGACTGCAGTGCCTCCAAGTGGTCTTTTAGATGAATTTGAATTTTTGTTAAAATACAAAAGAACATCATACTGCACATTTGGTTAATTTCTTTTCTGTGACTAAAGTCAAGGCAATTTTCATGACTTCATACTGTAAGAAACAGATGCTACTAGAATGCATCCAAAATGTTTTTTTTTTTTTTTTTTTTTTTGGTTGCTTTTGTTTGGGGTTTTTTGCAATCTTAAACTCTATTGTTAAGGATAAAGTGTGAAATATGTTTTTCTCTCCCCTCACCCATTGTTGTGCCTTTTCTTCTGTTTTTTTCACCCCTAACCATAAGGGCAGCAATTTTTTATGGCAGCAAGACCTCGGACATCCTTAATTTGAATCTGATCAATCAAATACATTAGAACGCAGAAATATTGTTTATCAAAAGCCCATCACTAAAAATAATTGCAATCTAACAACTTCTATGAAAATGCTTTTCTTTTGACTTTGAGACCAATTTTGGTTAGTTTTCACCAAATGCAAATTTTGTTAGAGAGGAGATGACAACCCTGTACAGATAGGCAAGAAAATTAGATGCATTAAATAGTGCCATTATACCACAATTAATCTTTTTGGGTAACAGTTATAACATAATGATGTTGTTACCTTTCTTTGTCTGTGATTTTGACTTAGAAACACAGGTTAGAAAGCTAGAAGTAATTCACATTTGCACAAGGTTGGAATTTTCGGCACTCTTGCGTTACACTAAGAGCATCTTGGGATTGTATTGTGTATTATATAAAATGGTAGTATGTTTAATCCAGTAGTTTTTAAAGTACATCTTCTTATGGTTTTGCAGTCCATTATAAGAGGCTTTATCTTTGATGATAAAAGAGTAATATAGTCTCTGAGGTATTAAAACTGAAATGCTACCTTTAATTGGAAGCTCTTTATCACCAATTATAATCATTAAGGCCAAAAGGTCAACTTTTTGTTAATTAATCAAAATTTTACTCCTGCTACGTTTAACAGTAATTTAATTTCAGAACCTATTATTATCATCTAGGTGTCAACTCCAACGAGCTTCTATAACAACCCATTAATGACCCATTCTAAAGGTAGCTCACGTGTTAGACGTTTATTAAAAAATCTCCCCAATTCCCACATCATATCTGTGTGTGTGTGTGTGGGTGTGTATACTTACCTACACACATACTTTTGTATAGGAATAAAGATATTTATCTATCTTTGCTTTTTGTTGAGTTGGGCATGACATGCCCAAAGCATTGCTACAAAATGTGTGTGTATATGAGGAAAGTGCATTAAACCCTGTGAGTAATAAGTCAGCTGTACAGCAAATGTGTTTTGTTTTTTGTCTCCTTTTCAAAAATAATGTGAGAAACTGGAAAATCCTTTCACTTTATGTCACATACAGAATGAGGTTTACTTGCTAGACTGCCTTCTAAGTGAAAGTGTTCCGTATATGCTCATTTCTGGATTACTTGTAACAGTTGTTTCGCACAAATTCTCTCAGCTTTAAGTCTCAAAGTAAACCCTACAAACTATTCAGCCAACAGCTGTAACTGAATCAACTCTTTCTTGCTACTATAGAAACCGTAAAACATCCCCTGTGCAGTCCTATACATTTGCTGTCGCAGTTTAATGGGTAGTGGTGGCCTAGTGGTTAGAGCATCGTGCTTGGGTTCCGGAGTTTCTGAGTTCAACTGCCATAGACAGCCACTCTGGGTCCCTGAGCAAGACCCTTAACCCTCAACTGTTCCCGCCGCACCTTGGCAACCCACTGCTCTTCAAGGGGATGGGTTAAATGCAGAGGTGAATTTCTCCAGTTTGAGATTATCCATTTTCCGTCACACTTATCCCAAGTGGGTTTGCAAGGGGTACTGGTGCCTATGACCAGCTGTCTACAGGCGAGAGGCGGGGTATGTGCCAGTTGTTTTAAATTGTGAATTTGTAGCAATATTCAACGCAAAATAAAGATGTGTCACCTGAACCCGTTGAAAAATGGCTCCAATGGGTACCATGGATTTAAACTTCCATTGCTTCAAATTCTCTTTGCAATAAATTTGAACTTTCTCGTCCTTTAACCTTGTTAGTTTCTTGGGTCAGTGGCATAGTTACAGAGTGAATAACATTTCAATCTGAAAAATTGACACAGAAAGAAAAAGACAAATAGAAGAATTTTATTGATACGATTACTTTAGTCTTTGGCACTTAGACCTTGGCAAGAAACATTAGTGTCAAATGTTGTTTGATATGCATGCACAGTATGGTGCCAGACCAGTTGAAGTAAGACAGGGAACACAGTAAGAGTCCGGGAGGATGACCCTTTGTTGAAGCTTTAGCTACAATGATGGAGAAGGGGCTGGAGGTGGGTTGAATCAGGGTCATCTGAATCCAAGTCAGACCTAGCGCAACCACTACCTGCGCTTTGGGTAGCAGACTGAGTTGTGGATTACAGACCTTTTAAGATGAACTTTGCATGCTGATTGGGTTTTTGTGGAGGTGTGGTTCAAAGCTGATTAGCTTGTGTCAGAGGCGGACATGTTAAAACCCTTTCTGATGTTTCGCAAAAGAATATAGCAATTAAGTGTATGACATAAACAAAAGGCATGTCTTGAAGACATAAAATCTGGATGACTCTTAACTTTCTGCTTCTGAATGCAGAAAAAACAGAAGTAATTTTCTTTTGACCAGAGTCTGAAAAAGAAGCTGATTAGTCAGTCACTTCATTTGGATGGAATTAAATTGATCCCAGATGATAAAGGAAAAAGCCTTGGTGTTATTTTTGATCAGGACCTGTCTTTTAAATCTTATATAAAACAGGTTTCTAGAGTTTCCTTCTTTAATCTCCTGAATATATCCTGCCCACTTCGGCAACTTTTATAGACAGCTTTTATTGTTTCGTACTGTTTTCAGAACATTTCCATTTCTTAAAGTGCAGCAGTAATACATATGACTAATAAAGAATAAACCTAACAATTGAAGAAAAAAAAGAGTTCTGTCCTAGTACTCGTCGTCTCCCGCTCTATCCGAAACCGGGTCGCTGGGGCAGAAAACTAAGCAGAGACTCCCAGACTTCCCTCTCCGCAGACACCTCCTCCAGCTCTGTTGGGGGAAGCCCTAGGTGCTCCCAGGCCAGCCGAGAGACATAGTCTCTCCAGCGTGTCCTGGGTCGTCCCCCTTGGCCTCCTCTCAGTGGGACGTGCCTGGAACACCTCCCGGGGGAGGCGTCCAGGGGTCATCCAAAGAAGATGTCCGAGCCACCTCACTGACTCCTCTCGATGTGGAGGAGAACCGGCTCTACACTGAGCCTCTCCCGCATGACCGAGCTCCTCACCCTATCTCTAAGGGAGAGCCCAGCCACCCTGCGGAGAAAGCTCATTTCAGCTGCTTGTATCCGGGATCTCGTTCTTTTGGTCATGATCCATGACCATAGGTAAGGGTAGGAACATTGACCGGCCGGTAAATTGAGAGCTTTTTCTTTTCGCTCAGCTCTCTCTTCACCATGACAGACCGGTGCAGCGTCCGCATTATTGCAGCAGCCGCACCGATCCGTCTATCGATCTCCCGCTCCATTCTTCCCTCACTGGTGAACAGGACCCTAAGATACTTGAACTCCTCCACTTGAGGCAGGAACTCTCCTCCAACCTGAAGGGGACAAGCCACCTTTTTCCGGTCGAGAGTTCTGTTGACAGCTATTTAATTTCCTTATTGATTTAGAAATGCAAAACATACTCTGTCTAATTATACATTATACTGTGTAAAGTATGATCCCTTTTTGATAAAAAAAATAACGACAATAACAGTACAGATAGATATTTCTAATAATATCTTTACAATGTGAGGATATGTTTCTGTTAAAGATAAATAAGTGTTATATTTGCTATTATTTTGTCCATGTCTTTTTTTCCTTTCGCTCTGTTTTGCTGTGTTTTTTCTTCAATGAACATTCACTGTTGCAGATTTTTACAGAAGAGGATTAGGGCCACCGAAAAAAAAAGGTCAACTGATTTTTTCATTTAAATTCAGTTTAATATGGGGAAAAAAGTCAGAATTCTGACTTTTTTCTCAGAAATCTGACTTTTTTCTCAGAATTATTACTTTTTTCCCCATATTTTCTGTGACCCTAATCCTTTTACGTAGATTTTTTATTTCTGCCATAAAAAAATGTGTCCACTTGGTGGCAGTATCCCTCCCTAATCGCCTGTGCTCCGCTTTTAATGCGAACGAAGAAAAACCGCACAAGCTCCCAGGCAGAAAATGGCTGCTATGCATTGTGGCTTCGGTATCCCTGTTTTTTAAGACTTTATCTGTATTGTTTTGCCGGTATAAGAAATATCTCTAAAAGGAAAAACGTTATGTTCAAAAAGGCAAAAAGAGTGAACTTGCGGCGAAGGAATGACTCCGACGAGGATGAGCATGAGGACAGGCAGCCTCAGCCGCTGGCTCTGGCGCCCACATCCTTCGGGCCTGTGGTTGAAATCCCTTTCATGGAGACCAGCGGAGCTGCGAGCAGCGACGAGAACAGTTACAGTAACGGCTTTCTGTCCAACTTAAACTTCGCGAGACCTATAAAGAAGGAAAAGAAGATCAAAGATGTTGCTCCTGTCGCTCCTCCTACTAAGGCCAGTTTGCTGAGTTTCGACGATGAAGAAGGTAACCATGCTAATGTAGCTAGCTGGTTAAAATTAGCAAAATAAACTGTCAAACTTGAATCAAACCGTTGCTCTCATAAATGCAATCTCACACACATTTATTGCATGGGAGCTGTTTCTTTTCACCTGATTTAATTCTTGTCTGTCTGGTCATTGAAACAGAGGGATCCGAGGTGTTCAGAGTGAAGAAACCCAACCACAGCAAGAAGATTGTCAAGCAGCTGAAAAAAGAATATAAAGAAGATTTGCAGAAAACTGGAACTGTGAAACAGGAAACCAAATCAGGTGAGATGCACTGTTGAACATGTGCAAAGGCATAATGAGATGATATCCTCCAGGTATGTGGCAAAAGGAGAGAAAATAGTGAGTCAGTATCTGAATGACAGAAGGAGACTTGGTTTATCTGGGTAACATTCAGTATGGCTAGGAGATATTTTAGTAAAGGTTATTGGACACACAATAAGAACACCAAATGCATGTCTGGAGGTATATGATACATTTCTAGACATTTTGGAATAGTTTTATAAACAAATAAAATAATGTTCAGGTCCCCAGTTTCCTTTTTTACCAGTTTGTACCCGCATATCAACACAGCCTGCTTTCATTTCATATTTTTCAAAGATACCATTTGGTACTGTCGTGGGGGCAAAAAGTATTCAACCATTCACTCCTGTTAAATAAAAGGAGGATAAACCGGATTTCAGTCAGTCAACATTTTATTACGTCTTTGCTAAGAGAGAACCAGACATCATAGGATGGTAATCAGCCGTGTTCTGATCTTTCCCCCTTACTTACAATAAAGGAAATTAGTCTGAGTCAAAACATATTACAGACACTTTGGTTAAATTGTAACATGTTATGATTAAACCTTGAAAAAGAATCAGGTTGGTCATGGGAATAGTATTTTCTTCTATGCAAACACTCCTTACTCAGACATTGTGTGGCCTTGCAGGTGAAACAGACTGAGTAAAAACATTTTTCAGTGGATAAATAGCATAACTCAATATATGTAATAGGAGAAATATGCATTTTCCAACCACAGTACCCAAAAAATAGCATATTAATTTCTGATTATAGAAATGATCATACTTTTATCATACTTCACTATGCATGCAACTTTGTTATTAAGAGCGAAGTAAAGTTGGTGTTCATCAAATTGAAAAGGAAAAGGGATACAATGTTCATAAGAAAATGGTGGTAAGTGGATGATGTTCTTTATGACATAGTTCTGGACTCTTGGTAATTTATTCAAATATAAGAGAGAACAATCTTTGTGACATCCTGGAGACAGTATATTTATCCCTGTCAGAAGCTTTTTTTTCTTTAGAAGAAAAGGCATAATCAATGGATCATTATCTATACCTAAAACTTATATGTTGTGATTTAATGAATTCTGCGTTAAAAAAATTACATGAGAAATCTAGCTGTACATCCACAAAATAGAGGGTACTTTGTTTCATAAAGCGCAAAAAAGACATTTTTGTTTTTAAAAGCCCCTAAGGGGCTCAAACAATAGGCCCCCCCATTTCATCAAATGAGTTTTTTTTTAGACTAGAAGAGTTCTGCCTTTTAAGACAGGAAAGTATAGCAGTTAAAGTTGCTACTTGAGAAAATACTTAACCCTAGAGATAAAAATAGCTCTGTGATTCAAATTATAAATTGTATTTGGAATAAAAATGAGAGAACTAGGGGTGCTAAAAAACACATCCTCCAAAGACAGATATTTACATGGGAATGTGGCATATAATTAATTGACATATTACTGATCTGGCTGGATTTTATTCTGCTTTACTTCCATAAATTGCAGGATCTTCTTTACTTTATCTTTGCCAGAAGATTTAAACTTTAAAAGCCTTGCCCTCATAAGTTGCAAGTTAATTTATTTATAAAGGCTATTTTAATTATTGTGATCAATTTGCGCTGTCAATCCCGGCGCATGCGCGCTTCATTTGCAGTCTGGACGCTGAAACATCCTGCTTCTCTGACTGCAGCACTGAGAGGGATTCCTGCGGAGAGCGGGGTTGGGATGGGGGAGGCGCCTCACGGCAGCAGCTGCCGCTGGAGGACAAGAGTAGGAACGATACATGCTTTCACGTAAGAATCTCCAAAAGCCGCCAGTAACACCGTAAAAAGTCGCCAGATTTGTCGCTAGTCGCTTTTTTAAAAAAATAGTCGCTGGAGGGGTCTGAAAACTCGCTAAATATAGCGACAAAGTCGCTGAGTTGGCAACACTGCGCACCTGCAGCGCTGGCTCGCTCTGCCGTATTTTTTTTTCTTCCCCCGTTTCTGTCAAGTGGCAGTGATGACGGCGGCGGCGGATGACGCATTAATCGCGCGACACAACTAATCGATGATGAAATTCGTTGCCAACGCTTTTAAAAGTCGATTTTTATCGATTTTATCGATTTGTTGTTGCAGCCCTATAGCCAACATTCCAAAGAATGTTTTCAAGATGACTTGGATAATAGCATGTTGCGACAAACACCAGATAGTACGTTGGGACTTACTCAAAAGCCGATACCGTGACGTTACAAACCGGTAGGTGGCAGTAGTGTTCTCTGACAAACATGGATGTCTCTGGTGAAGCACATTCAAATTAAAATGACTCTTGATTAAAAACGTGTAGCATTTTTTGTGCAGTATGTAATAATTTTATTTTTTAAAGTACTTTCAGAAGTGTGAAATCTGAACTTGACCGGACTCTTCCTTAAAAATAGACTATAAGGGTAAGGTTAACTAAACCTCTAGTTAACCTCTTTTTTTGCCATAAGAAATCGTGCAAAACTGCAAAAATTGAAAAAAGACAGGAAGATCAAATTACTGTTGCCACTTTATTTTTGTTTTTTTTCAATAACTAAAATGTTTGGTTGGCAAGGCATTCGTAGTTTCTGTTTACAAAATCCCACATGCTCAGAATATGATAATGCAGTAACACAAGTAAAATGAAATCTGACACATATGATTTCATTCTATAAGATCCCTTTGATCAGTAGTTTCAACAAATGAGTTAACCAGTTAAAAAAAGAATACCTACTTTTATACATTCTTTTAAGTTATTATTTTTGAAAAGGTTTGTTTAATTTGACATTTAAGACCCTGGGAACACCTCCTGATTTAGTAAGATATATCCAACCTCGATCAAACCTTTTCCATTGCACACTTAAGATCAGTGCTACGTTTTAATTCAGGGCGACTTCTGCATTATCAAGTCTTTAAAAGGATCTGTTTCAGCTGTAATGAATGAACCGTTTTATTTGTTCATTTCACTTACAAAGGGTACGCTACTCTGGTATTAAAACTTTAGTCCTATTAAATTTTACTTATGGCCACTCTATACACCTTAAAACAACATATGCCTCTATTTTATGTTATAATGTGCTTGTTTTGGCTCTTGAGGGCTGGATAAATTGCAACGATGAGTCAGCTTCTACTAGTGGGCCTTGAGTTTGACATCTAGATTATTTTTATGTATTGTTTCAATATAAAAGGGTTGCAAAATATGAAATGTTTATTTATAAATTTATTTTTATGCATTTTACCAGATGTTCCACCTCCACCAGTGTTCACCGTAAAAGAGGAGGTTATCAGCAGAGCGAGCAGTGAACATGGGGAGGAGGAGATGGAGGTGGAGAGTGGCGATGAACAGGATGAAGACAAAAAAGCCCAAGGCGGTCAACTGTCCAGAGGCAGGAACATGGGAGCATCATTTAACACACTGTCGTCCCTCACTAGCCTAAAGCCAGGTACTGCTCCCTCAACTTTACCTTTCAGATAAGTTAAAACTAAAACAAAAAAAAAGAAATACTTAGATAAGAAACCTCAAATTCTGCTTCAGGAGAGATCCCTGATGCAGCGTTCATCCACGCTGCCAGGAAGCGCCGGCAGCTAGCCAGAGAGCTGGGCGGGGAACCCCCTCTGGTCGAAGCCGAGCCTTCCAAGAAACATCTGATGCAAGATGACAGAGATGGCAGCGATGATGAAGATGAGGACGAGAAGAGAATCCGCTTTAGTGGAGTCAAGAACAAAAGTCAGAGGCAGAAGATAGCCGAAGAGATTGGTACTGCACTGTTAAATAATTTATCACATGGACCATATTATACCATTCTCTATCAGTTTAAATAAACGTCCTCTTCTGATGTTTGCAGGTATTGAGGGTAGTGATGATGAAGCACTGGATACAGGCCATGATGAGGAGGTGAGCCGCTGGGAGCAAGAACAGATCAGGAAAGGAATCAGCATACCTCAGGTAAGCTGCATCTCTAACTCACTGAGATATACTGCAGAATTAAAAAATAAAATACCTGCAGTACCTCTGTGGACCCCTTAGGGGTCAAGGACCCCTGTTGAAGACCTCCTGTGTGGCGAATATTAAAACAAGGAGGTTGTTTTCATATCTACAAACACAACTGAAATAGTTGGCAGTTTAAAAATCAGCCACAATTTGTCCTTCTGTTTGTTGGATAAGTATTTGGAAATTAGATTGCTTCTCTGAGTGAGAAGATAAAGACTAGACTGTTATTTTCTTCCTTGTTGCTTTCTTTTTTAACTTAAGTCCTCAGGAGAAAGTAAAAGGAAAAACGAAAGGAGAGCAGAACTGACTTGGACATAGTCATTTTGTGTATGCAAAATGACAATAAAAGTTGTCTAAGTCAGTTCTGTTCTCGTTTTATAGTATTTCCTTTTTCCTCCCTTTATGCCTGATCTCCATTGTTTATTCTGCTTCTCACTATTGTTCTACTCCTTTTTCTTTCATTTCTTACTTACTTACATAATTTCTTACTTGCTAGACTTTGTCTTCTTCCCTGCTTCATTTCCCATTCCATCTTTACTTTATAAATTGAGCATATTTTTCAGAAGTATTTTTCTTTGTCAGGTTCCTACATGGTTTTTCTGTTGTTGTTTTTTTTGTTTTGTTTTTTTAAGCCAGACTTTGCTGAAAACATCTGCTGTGAAGTTATACTGAACAGTTATTTTGTATTTTTGAAATGGGACAAAAATGCACTGCGAACACCGAGATAATTTGGATCTGGGAAAGTAAAGTACAATTGTGTAAATAAATGCATAGGAACTCTTATTGAACCACTGAAATACGAATTACCCTTTTCATCTTTTTTCATTTTTGTTAAACTTAGCAGCTCTGCTTATCAAGGATATGCTTTGCTTGTTGTTATTTATCAGGTTCAAAGCAGTCAGCCAGAGGAGAGCACAGCCTACTACCAGAACAGCTATGAGACTCAACCCTATGGCTCCTCGTACAATATGCCTTTCACCTACAGTACAGTGGCTCCACAGCCTGGGAAGATACCTGGCCTCTCTGACAATGTCTCTGTTCACTACGGGGCCGCTGTCTGTGATTTAACCCCAGTATCCATCGATCTGGTAAAGAAACGCCTGCGGGATAGGTAGGTTTTGCAGGAGTTTGCTACTAAGTCTAGTATAAGTGCTCACCTCACCTGCTGCCCCCCTCGGTGTGCCATGGTCCTGAGCACCCAGCAGAGTTATCTACACATCAAATGTCCAAGAGGCAAAATATGTCTCCGCCTTTTGGTATTTTTCACCGTCTCTTTCCCACCCTAAATCTACCTTACTCGTTTTCGTTGTATTTCCTATCTCTATATAGGCTTTCCCAGATGCATGCAGGCAACAACGCGAATATCAAACGCTACGAACAGATCAGGGATGACCTGGAGTCCTCTGAGAGCACCATCCAGCAGCTTGAGGGTTCCTCCAACGATAATGCTGATCGATATAAATTCTTGCAAGAGATGCGAGGGTATGTTGGAGACTTGCTTGAGTGTTTCAGTGAAAAGGTAAGGGAGAATTTATCTGTGGTCTGATAAGCTGCTTGCTGTTTTGTGTCTGTAATCCGGGAACTTTATGCGAATTTGAACATATAAAGTCTAATAAAATAAAATTAATATTACTCATATAAGATGGTTGGAAAAAGTTTATATATATATTAAGTTTTAAACACTAATTGGAGCCCTAAAAAGACAGAATGTAATCACCAAGGAATGACATGAGCACAGATGTTTAGAACAAAACAAGAATATGTAATTAATCTGTCGATTTTAGAGATGCACAGAGAAATACTCTATTAACATATATATATTTTTTTCAGTTTATCTTATCAGAAACTATTATTATTTTATTTATTTATTTATTTTTTTGCTTAGGGCTTTTTGTTTCATATTCAGCCGGGTGCATTGGCAACAACACCGAATCCTTTTGTTAAGCTGTTTCAAAGTTTGTGAGTTATTCTAACTGAAGCCAGTGGATGTCCAAAGTTGTAAGGAATTTATAACTACCCATACCTTCTACTACACCATGCCTGTGGTTTAATTGGCATTCAAGAGGGTGAGAGAGAGAGATACTTTAAGCAGAACAGCAGCGCTAAAAGAGACCAGTGCATTTGTTCTGTTTGAACTTTCAGATATGAACCCTGTTCTTGTTTTGTATCATGTCTGATTGGTAAGTTTGGAAAGCCTTTTGAAAATCTTGGGATTTAAAATTGTATTCTTTAGGGAATACAAATGGAGGCTAAAGTTCTTTAATGCCAGTCACATTACTGACTGGTTTAAGATGACAAATTGTAACCTTGATCATTTATTCCTTTTCTCAAATAACTTTAAAATCCTATTTTACAGAGACTGCTCTCTAACACACCATGATGTAATCTCCCCTTAATGGCTGCTCAGGATAAGAATGTTGAGGGCGAAAAACATTTTAAATACTGTCTATATCTTTTTAAGCTTTATCTGTTTAAGAGAAATAGAACCGGTGTTTCAAAGCTTTATGAAAGGCAAAGATCAGAAGTCTTTCATAGCGTGTTGATATGGGCATCTCTGATGTATTTACAACTACATGCATGTCCAGACATATTAATCGAATCTTGATCTTGCAGCACCAGATTTCAGCTCATAATGCGCAGAATGATTGACAGAAAAGTGTGCTGTTTAATTTTACTTTAGGGTTCCTTTCATTCAGTGTGTAATGTTTGTACCTGAATCGTATGCTATCTGTATTTTGTTAAAAATTATACCTCTTCTGCTTTTCACTCTTAACTTTAGTTTACAACATTGAAGCGTAACAATACATTTTTTTACTAGAAACCAGGGATGATTTCTTTCCAGCCTTGTACTGTCCAACGTGTTGCTGTTAAAGTACGCCCCAGTGCCTCGGAGTCCCGCTTTTGCTAGGTCAGAGGTCACAAAAAGCATCATATCTTTCAGGTGCCTGCTGTCCTGGAGCTGGAGGCTGCCATGCACCAGTTACTAAGGCAACGGGCTGCACGGCTTGCCCAGAGAAGACAGGATGATATTAAAGATGAATCGTCGGAGTTTGCAAGCCTTTCAAGTCAGTCCATCTTGAAGGTTTTTATGATTTATTTGAAACAGCCTCGTTGGTTGTGTGCCTGAGCGTATGCTTGTCTTTGTTTCACATCCTTGTTCTATTTTGCACCCATTAATGTACGCTTGAAATTATGATTAAAGTTAATTGACTGGTGATTTGTGTGATTGAGCATGTGAGAGTATGGGAAGAGTGCAATTTGAGCTGCTGATTTTCGCAGCTGGTTGTTTTAACTTGGCTAAAATTATGAGCAATCAAAGAAAGATGTCATTAAACATTGGCTTCTGGCTTTACATTCTGAACTGGGGTTACAGCACGGTAAGTTCTATGAGATATTACACAAAGTATGTGTGACGGATCTACTTCTGCAGTTTATAATAGATTAAGGAGAAGGTTTGCATATTTAAAGGTTCATATTTCCCATCATGCTTTAGTGTTTTATCTCTGGACATTTAGGTTTTCTTCTCATAATACTTAGAATGTAACATAGGGGGAAATTAAAGGTTTTATTTTCTTATTCAGTTCAGCCTTTAACATTAAGCCTGTTTTTTTTTCAGATAAAGCTGTCATGGCGCCCAGTCTGGACTCATTGGGTCGAGACCGTGTCGCATACCAAGAGCACAGTCGGCAGAGGAGGATAGCTGAAAGAGAAGCTAGAAGGTTTGAAAGTTTTCTTTTTTCTCCAGCTGCTTTGCTTCTGCTTCTAGGGTGTTTGGTGGAGGGTTTTAACTCTGTTTAACCACCAGAGGGGGTAATTAGTCAGAGGATAATGGGTATGAATCAAACTCTTGAAAAGGCTGCTTTTTATTCGCTCTTCTCTTTTAAACTATTTTACTTATTTCAGGAAAAACTGGAACTGAGTTGTAAAAACAAAATTGAAAAGCAAAGATACTTCTGGGTAGAAACCGAATTTCTGTTTCCTTGAATGAATCATGTAATGATTTGAGATTTATTTATTTTGAAAATGTATTTAACTTAATTGAAACTTAATTCAATGGTTTTAAAACTCTATTCTTAGCTTGTATGTATTTTTTTATTGAAAATTTGATTAGTCTTTTTTTAACTTTAGTTTGAGAATTGTGAGAATTATGAGTGTCTACTCATAATCACTTGACAGGCACCTACAATAAAGAAACTGACAAATAGGGAAAAAAAAACAACTACAAAGTTTAAAGTAAATGAAAGACTAATGGAATATCCTGATATTTCTCTGTAAATGGATATATTAGGACTTCCAGAAACTGGATATCAAAGTATTCTATAAGCTACAGCCTAGTCAGATTGTTTAGGCTGTTTGAATTATATCAGAGCCCTTTTTTTATCTTTACAATTGGAGTGATTAATTGGTTAACTTAAAATCTGGACTTTTTTTTTTTTTTACCGAAAAAAATGCACCTCTTTGACTTCTGCAAAAATCGAATTTGTCATAGTTTCATTATTTATTGGGAAATATTAACAAACATTTTGGTAAAAATAAAAGCTACTTTATGAAAGAACTGTGTGAAAATCAATTAATTCGATTCGGTAAAAAAAAAATCTGTTTTTTTTTTTTACTCTTATTGCCCTATTTGCAGTATTCTCTTTTATTCTCATTAAAAACATGTTAAAACAAACCTTTTTTAAGTAAGCTATGAAAAGCATTCAGGCAGTCAAACTGACCCATTTTCCGTTTAAACAATGGTGATTATGATGCTTTTCTAACAGTTAGTTTAATAGAATCATTTTGCATGCAGACCTTTAATCTAACAGGCTGTATTTGTGTTTGGGACCAGAACTCGTCGACGACAAGCAAGAGAGCAGAATGGGAAAAGGGCTGAGCATAAAGAAGGCCTGTCATCTGATGATGAGGAAACTTCTACTGACATCACCAGCTTCAACATGGAAAGAGGTAGGCCTACACATTTTGAATGCTGCAAAACAATAATAGTAATAATAATTAAAAAAATACTTATAAGAAGTGAAATTCTGAAATCCCAGCAAGATATTTGAGCAAATCCTTACCCTCACATTTTGTCCCATCCAGACCGTATCAAAGCAGAAAGTAAAAAAGTATTTGAGGATGTGGTGGAGGACTTTCATTCTCTTGACTGCATCAAATCCCATTTTGAAGTGTGGAGAAAGGAATACCCGGACTGCTACAGAGACGCTTACATCGGCCTCTGTTTACCCAAACTCTTCAATCCTTTAGTTCGTCTGCAGCTCATCACATGGAACCCTCTCGAGGTAAAGATATTTTTTTTATGCCAAAATTAGCATTTTCTGATTGAAAATATAATGTTTTACAACTGTTTTTTTATGTGTTATTTATGTAGGAGCCGTGTCCAAACTTTGAGTATATGCTGTGGTTCGAGTCTCTTCTGTTTTATGGATTTGAGGAGCACATAATGCTTCAAAAAGAAGACGAGGACATTGGATTGCTTCCCGCTATTGTAGAGAAAGTTCTTCTATCCAAACTGTCAGGTAGTGAATTCTGTATAGCTGCACTAGGTACTTTATTTATTTGCATGAAAAAAGTACAAATGTTTACCATGTGTTGTGTTTGTGGTAGTGCTGGCAGAGCAGGTGTGGGACCCGCTGTCAAGCAGTCAGACAGCAAGGCTGGTGAGCTTCATTCACAGACTTGCTGGAGGTTATCCAACTGTGCTGCATGGAGACAACCAGTACACACAGGTAGAGCAGGCTTTCCTTGATGTCTGCAAACAAGTACCAAAATGCACCATAACAAATCTGTTTAATTAAAAAGAATTTGAGTTAACTTATTTTTGTCTGTTAGGAACTTTTGAAAACGATAGTCATGAGGACCAGGCGGACTCTGGATGAAGACATCTTCCTTCCACTTTACCCTAAAAAGTATGTTTAAAAAATACAATTAGTATTTTTTATTGTAAATGATCTGATCTTTATAAGAAAATCTGTTTTCTATTCAGTGTTATGGACAACAAGAACAGTGGTGCCTACCTGTTCTACCAGCGACAGTTCTGGTCCTGCATAAAGGTATGTACTCAGAGGTATCAGAAATATTAATGATTATTACTCAAGTAGAAGTATAAATCCTACTGTATAAAAACACTTTTTAGAAGTTATAGTATCAACTTAAGCTGTTTACTCAAGTAAAATTGTAAAAGTACCCTTTTTAAAACTACTTAAAGTATAAAAGTAAAAGTAATGTAGTAAAAAATTGACAAAAATGTTTCAAAATTCTGGATGATAACTTCCTTGTACTTAATTTCCTTATTTTTATAACTAATAGCAGCAGTGTTAATTTTAACTTTGCATCATCTGAGAAACTATTTATTTTGGTGCAGTAAAGAATCCAAAAACAAAGAAACTAATTGTCTTTATAGCCATAACAACAATGAGCTTAAATGAAACAAATCTAACGAGTCTATTTTTAGAATTTAAGGAGTAGAAAGTAGAGATGGTTACAAAACAATTTAAAGAGTAGAAGTAAAAAGTTGTCTAAACGTATTTACTCCAGTAAAATACAGATAGCCTAAATTTCTATTTAAGTACAGTGACAAAGTATTTGTACCTTGTTACTTGACAACTTTGTACTTTTGGTCCTTTTTATGTCGTTGTTTTTTCCTAAATCAGCTATCAGTCAGTCACTGGAGTCCCACTGTATGAAATCTAATTTAATCACTTATAGAGATCTGGATAACTTTAATAAGAATAAGTTTATGTATGCCAACTGTTTGTATATCTATTTGTTACCTAAAATATTTTCATCTTTTTGTTTCTTTTTTCATTAGCCTGCTTGTGTAAAAGATTATAATTTGCCTTCGTTTTTGAGTAACTGGCAGAAACGCCACAAATTAACCTCGCATTCAATGCAGACAAGGGGAAATATAAGTGCTTTAGCTTTTTAAACAAAATAAGTAGTTTAAACTGTTCAATAGCAGTCAACATTTTTACACTCAAAAAAGAAATTAACAGATAAACTGTTTCAGATAATGTTTTATTTTTGAAAATGAGGGATTGGATATATAGGGCTGTACAATCCTCTGCTTCTCTGTAAAATTAAATGTTTCACCACAGTGTTGGTTTATGGTTTATGAAATTAAAACTAATTAGTTATGTTTCTTAGTGTCTAAAGTGTGGTTAAACTATTTTTTTATACAACAGAATTTAAACTTTAATCCAGAAAAAGACAATTTCATTATAAGAGAAACACAGAATCTAAAATTAATCAACTAAGCAAAAGCAAAGGCATTAAGATGGTGATGTGCAATGTTACTTGCACTTTTTATAGAGGAGTTAAACACTTAAAAACCAAAAGATAAAGTTATGCATTCTGCTTCAATAATACATTTTCTTTGCACAGCTGCTTGGCAACATCATTCAGTGGGATGGCATCTTATCCTTTTCCTGTCTGAGGGATCTGGCTTTGGACAGCACTCTTAACAGATACATCCTCTCTGCACTTCAGAGTACAGATATAGGAGAGGAGAATGTGCAGAAGTGCCAGAAGGTGAGATATTCAGATTAAAAATTATATATATATATATAATATAATAATATAATATATATATATATATATATATATATATATATATATATATATATATATATATATATATATATATATATATATATATGAGTATTGTTTTCCTTGAAATTCTTTCTAAATATTTAAAGAAGAAGCTAGTAGGCATTTTTTTTTCTGGTTCATGTTCTTGTGTAAAAAATGTGACAAAGCAATGCTTTTCCCTGTGAAATTAGAACAAGTTGTGTGGAAGGACAGTGGGTTACAGGGTCACTTTTATTTGCCACAATACAAACAAATTAAGTGATATTCAGAGAGGGCATTTAAGGTAGCATCATCACATCAAAGCAACATGTTCATTCAGGAACCTTTCAGCTGATTGACTGGATGCTGTTTAGATGCATGTATACCCACTTTGATATAGAGCTAAAATAACTAGAATTCTAAGAATTTCTTGTATTGTTTGAATGCATTTTTATGATTTGTGAGAATTTTTTGTAGGGTTAAGCCCCTTAACTTTGTAGTTTTAAGTTATTTAAAATAAAGCATAAAGAGTTTGTAAATTTACTATTTTCTGTAAATTTCTTAACTTAGTTAAAAATAAATGATGTGCCTTACATGTAAAAATGAAACCATTATTATAAAAAACTATTATATAACATTAGTTATTACACTTTTTTTATGAATTTCTTTTAAGCTCTTCAATCCAAATCAGGTGTTAAACCTTTTTTTTTATTTGTGACTCACTGTTAAAAGTCACTAAAATGGTTGGTTGTTTTTCAGGTGGTGGAGTGTTTGCCAGTACAGTGGTTCTCAGGGCTGAAAGGCCAGCAGACCCTTCCTCAGTTGGAGCCATTGTGTCGCTACCTCACACACCTAGCTAACACTCTGCACCGCAGCAGTGTGCGGGGTTCTGATATTGAACGGCGCACCGCTAAGTAAGAAATACTATGTTCATCTTTAGATGATTCTGATTATGGTTTGTCTTTGTTTAAAAAGTTTTTAGGCATTCATGTAGGACTGAAACAATTGGATTAATTTTGATTAATTGATTATCTAAATAATTGTCAATTAATTTAGTAATTGTTAACTGGAGTATAGAGACTCTAAAACGTGCCTTTACCTGACAGAGCAACCCAGTTAGAGCAGTAATTCTATTAAAATTGTAAAAAAAAAAAAAAGAATTTTGAATATTTTGCATTTAAATTCAAGAAAATCTTGTTTGTCCGTCGATTGCTCTAACCAGCCTCCCTAAGTGTGAACATTTTCGTTTCTCCTGGTTTGATTTTGTAAAAGGTCTTTAAGGAACATTTGGCTAACCAATTACTAATCGATTAATTGAAAAAATAAACAACAGGTTAAACAATTTGCAAAATATTTTTTTGTTTTAGTCCTACATTCATGTTTGTTTCACTTTTGTTTTTAAATTTAATCACTGTATTGTTTTTACATATTCCTATAATGCTTTTCATACATCCTGTGTCTACCAATAGGGAGCAAATAAGGGAAGTGGTGAAGATGTTGGGACGCATGAACGCCCTGGACCACATCATCGCCGTGGCAGAAGAGCAAGGCGTTAAAGACATCAAACAGCTCATGGAAGTGAAATAATAGAATACAACCAGAGACTGCTCTTCCTCTACCTTTTGTTCTGTACATTGGAAGCCAATTAGGGTTGGTTGGAAAATGTGCAATAGGAGAAATATTAATTCAGCACTTGTTGCATTCACAAGATTAGAGGACTCTGTAAATATTGTGAATAATGTACAGTATTCTTTAACACCAGCTGGCACAAAGCTGAAATAAATTCCTGTTTTGCTAAATCAGAAGGCACACAATGGATACATTTTAGACCCATAATTTATTATAAAAATGTGTCATCCTGAAAACATTTTTGAATGTCTTGACTCTCAACCCCACTATTTAGTTGTTGTTTTTTACTGCTAACATTGGCTTTGTTCAGATTGTGTTAAAAGATAGATGTTACTTGCTTCTTTTTTTCAGCCCAGTCTTAACCATAAGCACCTTCATCACATTCAAAATGTTCTGAAAGTTTGTAAGTTATGTTTTTATTCTGTTTTTCTGTGAATAAAACAAATGGTATTCGAGTTCCATAATCCCTATTGAAATTGATAATGTATATAAAAGTGCATTTCAAGTCCTAATTTCTGCTCATTTGAATCAATCGCTATTAACCTCTATCCATTCGGGCATTTCATAACTTTGATCAAAGTTACTTAAAACATTCAGAGGTTTAAAGTACATGAAAAAAATTAGCTATATTCAGGAGTTTTCAATATAAAAGGGATAAGTAGAATTAAATCAGAAAAAAATGAAATACCAAAGGGAATAGATATTGAACATTTTAATCTATTAGGTTTTTTTATTACATTTGTATGAAGAAACTAGTCACACACCTTGCTTAGATGTGAATTCAACCCATTCCAACCAAACTAAAGCTCTTCTTTTTCCTTCACTTTGACTTTACTTCTTTCAAAAGTGGGAGACATGTCAAGTAATTGACTCAGCCATTCTTTCAGTTTGGATTGGGCTATTTTCTTGCTTGGAGGTCTTTATTCCTCTATTTACCTTCTTTCCAACTACCAGGTCATCCTTTATAATGATGTAGTTTTCATTTGAGATGTTCTTTCCACAGCAAAGGCTTTCTTAAAAAAAGAAAAAAAAACACTCACTGGAACAATTAGAAATTAGAAAAAAGGACAATATAGCCTTGCACATTGCCAGTAGAATATTATGAACTTTAGAGGCTTAGGTAAGGTTATCTATGCTTTAACCAATTGTATTACTGTTGGTAATTAGTTATTTTATACAGGTTGCTGGTTAATATTAGGCCACCTCATATTAACTGGCACATTGGCAGAATGCTTTTCTAAACATTGACAGCAGTTTTGTAGGCTTCTTGTTACTTTGTATTTTTTCTCCATCAGATTTTCAATACTTAATCCAGGTTTTTATTTATAACTAGACTGCAAAAAACGGTCTAGGAATAAGTCTGTCTTAAATTAAGTGTATTTACCCTGGATTTGAGTAGCTAAATAAGATGTTTTGCCAGTGGATTGGAGATTCTAAATAAGGTAATTAGATAATATACACTTGAAATAAGACGATTTTTTTTTTCTTATTTTAAATGTATATTGTCTTGTTCCATTGGCAAATTGTCCCTCTTACCATCTCAATTCAAGAAAAAAACACATTTCAAGAAAAATGACTTATCTAGATTTTGATTTTTTTTTTCAGTGTACATTTAAAGACAGGTTTGCTATAACCCTAACCCTTTTTATGTGTACAGAACAGGTAATTTCCGACATCTGGTTCGAATTGTATATGAGTTGCCTCATGAGATATATTTAACTATTTTGTTGTTCACATATGACAATTATTTTTGCAGCTGTATTGCTATTTGCCTCTAACCAGTCCAGTCCTTCCCTTTTTTGGGTAAGATCTAAAGTCAGAGTTCAGGAGGGGTAAAATTTAGGAATATCTGAGCTGTTGCCAAAGTCTCAGATTAGTCTGGATTGGGTTGAAGTACTGCTTCTAATTGCAGCGAATTAACCTATCAATTTTATGAATGGCCTCTGAATCTGTCCCAGACTCTTGAATCAGTTTCACACTCTCTATATTGCTGGTATCCAGTTTCCACCCCTAGTTAACCTTCTGTTAGTAGGTGATACTATCTCTAGGCAGATTGTCACTTTTGAAATGTGATTTATCCTTTTGCAGGTTACCAGGAACTTTGCAGTCCAAGGTCATCATTATGACCACAACGTTATTTATATGTTTATAATTATAATATTAGTAAATACACTAATAACATTAACTTTTGTCTTTTGACCTGAGTTACTAAGAAACTTTGCAAAGATACATTATTTTAGACCAGCTTATACACATGCAACATGCTTTGTTAGTGTTTTGTGAACTTTTAAAGATCAAACCAAATTCAGAAAGCTTATAAAGGTTTTCTAATTGGTTTTGAAATCTCTTTTTTTCGTAAAAATAAATCAATATCGGAGCTGTTTTTAATCACTAGACCCAGCAAAGTAATAATCTGATTTGAATAGTAATGAACGGGCGGAGCTGCGTTTGGGTGACTCCCTCCTCCGCCTGAGCAAGTAGGCTACTACCAAAAAAATCATAAAGTACTATCTACCTTTACGGACACTTGTAAAGCTTATTAAGCAGTTAGTCGCGGAGTTTTTTTTTTTTGTTCTTGTTTTTTTTTTTTTTGTTCAATTGTTTATTCTGCAGACTTTTGGAAACTCTTATGTTGGAGCTCTTCCTTGCGGACAGACGGGGCTTTGGCACTACTCAATTGTAAATACATTCGCTTGTATTCCCTGTTCTTTTTTATTATTATTTTGCATCCAAGTTTAGATAAAAAATGTTCTGATATAGTCCAAATTAATGCTGTGGCCCTTAAGCTAATGATAGCCTTTGAACGCATGTGTCTTAATTTTCATTATTTTTTTTTTTAAGTCTTTCTGGATGTGCAAGCAGAGAACTGAGTTACATAATGTCCTATTTCCTCGAACACAGCTTGTATTGGTGTTGGTTGATCCCTGATGCAGGTTATTTAAAAAAAAAAAGGGGGGGGGGGCTTAGAACTGTCGGGACAATCAATTTTTTATATTTAAATATCTTTCTTTAACTCATCTGAGTTCTGGTGTGGGAAGAGCTCTTATGAACGATTCAGCGGGTGGGCCGTGAAGGCAACATGCGGAGTGAGAGCAACAAGTGGTCTCTGTCAGTGAGTGTGAAAAGAAAAATTGTTTCGCAATCGAGAAATAAGCAGACTTTTCAGCTTCTGAAGATTCTCACTCATCCATAGTAATGTAAAAAAAAAAAAAAAAAAAAAAAAAAAATTAAACGTATTTTTTAAATCGTTTTTGACGTTAAATTAAATACAAAATAACTCACCATGAACAATGTTATCAGTTTAATTTGGTCTCTGTTTTATTAGGGAATATATTGCTTTGAGATTAAAAATGTATTTAAAAAAAAAACAAAGGGGCCAAAATTTGCATAAATTTTAATTGGTCATATTTTTATTTTAAAAAAGAACAGCTTGACAGCAGATTTTTCAAGTTATATTCCCACAAAATGTTCATTATGTTGTTTTCCAACTCAATAATATTCTGTGATCAGCTCTTACCTTTTCCTGTCTAAAAATTAAATGCGTAATAGAAATACATTGTCATGTCAAATTAAATACATATAGTTTACTTAGTAAAACTCAGGAATCAGTTGTTTTATTATTATTATTTTATAAAATCTTCATCAATAGCTATAAACCTAAATATAAACTCATGTTTATGTATCTACAAAAATAGCAGCATTCCATGGCAATGTGTTGTTGGAAGAAAGGAGAAGTTGATAACTACTATGTTTAAGAAAAGCATGTCCTTTTAAAGAATGGGGTGGTGAGAGCTGACCTTTTTAGATCCTAAGAGCAACAGTTCAGCTCAGCTTCACTCATTCTAACTTTAGCTGGTCCTAAAGTAGGTCAGTAGTGAGCAAAGCTGCAGACTGCACTAATGCAGGTCCAGTGTGAGTCTAAGGAAGCTTTCCAGGTTCTGTGAAATTGGGAGCTTCATATTTCATCTCTGCTGCATTAGTCCAGTGAGGGCTTGATAGTACCAGCGCAAACTAGTTATTGTGACACAGACATAATGTTGTGCGTTGCCTCACTATAGTGAAAATACAAATTCTGAGAAAAGACTTTGTTTTCTAGATACCAGGACACCAACATATATGTAAAATTACATTGTTTCGCTCTGAGGAAATAAATAGCAGCTTTTCTTACTGATATTGCTTTTTTTTCTTTGAAAAATAAAAAAAGAGGATAATTGCATGTGTTTCTTGGCATGGTACTATCGCTTTAAGTGAAAAGCTGATAGCAGTCAAGCTTTGTTTCCTGAAAACATATGATTACATCCCAGAGCTTTAAGATGGAAGCAGTTGTGTTATTTAATCACACAATAGAATCTCATTTCTCCTTTTTTTTCTTGTTGACTAGAAAACATTTTGTGGTTTTATATTAAAAATTGCCAAACAGCAAATATACAATGAAGGTGCTGCTGAGATACCTGTCCTTCGTTATCAATAGATTCTGTTTGTGTAGGAAACATTTTAGCCTGACACAGTTCATTGTTATTGGACCGCCATTACTCATAGATTATATCAATGCAGGTGGTGCAGCCGATGATGGTGCCTTGACTTACAGTAGGGTGTGACTGTGTGCTGAATGCAAATAAGCCGCTTCCTTTTTTGGGGGTCGTTACAGACCTTTTCATTTGGATAAAAGTGACTATAGAGAATAGGACATGCGCAGTTATTTACATACACTTAAAAATGACGGATAAGCTTTTTTTTTTGTCTCTGATTGTGTGATTTATAAATGGCAGAGGCATCCTTTACCAATATTTCAAAGTTAAAAGTTTACATATATTTCCTATTTTGCTGTTACCATAGGTTTCTTTTCGATAACCAGCACTAGCTTTTTATGTCTTTAGATTTGTGACACCCACTTGAAAACAATGACAATGTTTTCCTTAGGCCATTTTGTTACACATCTAGCTGTAAACATAGTTTTATTTTTCACTTGGATGACCCATTACTGTCCGATTGTTAATGTCCTTATATATTTAGATATTTTTGAATTCTACATTTTTTCCGCTTTATCTATTTGAGTAATTGTTTCGTTCTGTCCCGCAATAAATTACCCACACAGCATGATGTTGCTATTCCTTCATCTCACAGTTGTGATGGTGGTATCAGGCTCTCAAGCTTCCTTAATCTTTTTTCAAATATAAAAACGGTATTAAGGTAATTTTGCTGTAACATTTTAACAGTTCATGGAAGTTTTTTTTTTACTTATTTATTTATTTATTTAAGTAATGTATTCCTTATCACAGAATGACATCTCATGAGGGAGTCACAGGACTTAATTCCTTGTAGAGAATAGAAGTATATCAGCTTAATGGAGTATTTTCACATTATCTTAAGGGGTTGATATAGAAATTTTGCTGCAAATCATGTTCATCTCTAGTGCAATCGTTGATACAAATGAAAAGATGAACACTGAACTTTT